ACACAGTTGTTCCAAGACGTCGTTTCTGTTTGGCGGTCTGTGGCCTCTTCTGCTTGCAGCGCATGGTTTATTGATTCGTTTAGCTCTTCAACTACCTGCAAGACTAGCGTCGGGTCCATCGGGCCCCAGTCCTGGTCCTGAGTGGCGGCACCTAGATCAGTCCTAACACTGGCGAGCAGGCGTGCAAACTCTTCGGAACCTTCAAGCTCGGGCGGAGGGGATTGGATGCTCTGGAGGATCTCGGCAAGACAAACTTCGTCCCCATTTGGAGCCTTCGAGTAACATCAGTCACTTTGCCTTTCGACCAACGAATGGGAATCGAAAGGCTCATCCAACTGGCCCTGAGCTCCACATCCCTCGCCTCTCTTGGTACCCATCTGATCTGTTGTAGTCCTACGCGCGGCACGGTTGGCGACTGGATCGGCGTGTCCGTGCGAATGCTGACGGATCTCGCCATGCCGCCAGCGACACACGTTCACGCCGAGTTCAGGACCGCGAGGCGGTCTTCGATCCCAGACTCCCTCTCCAGAACTTGGTCCAAGATGTCCAGGGCGGCCACCGTACATTTAGGGGGAGGGTGATGATGATGATGATGATGATGCGGAGGAGGAGGAGGAGGAGGAGGAGGAGGAGGAGGATTTGGAGGATTCCTCCCTCTTCCCCTCCGCTCCCGACCCGAAGACGGTCCAAGAGGCGTACAAGACAGCCCAACAATGTCCCGAAGCGGCCTTGGGAAACGGTCTCGGTATCGGTATCGGTCGACAAGGCTCACCGTCAGCCTCAAACGAACCATGGACGGTGAAGCCAGCACGACATGCGCACGCCGCGTTATGGAGCCACCCTTCTGGAACACGGAGGAGGAGGAAGACGAAGAGGAGGGTCTTGAGGTCTTCACCCTGGCCTCCGCTCCCGACCCCAAGACGGACCGAAAGGCGCCCAAGACTGTCCACGCATAGGCAGAGCGTACCGTTTTATGGACATTAATTGCGAGCCAATGCAGACGCCAGGTGCGCGACGCTCTCGAGGTGGGCGACGCGTGTCAGGTGCGCCACGCACGCCAGTGGCCTCATGGGCCCAGGCGTGCAAGGCGCGCCTCGTGCGTCATTGCGCCACGTGTTCACGTGCTCCACGTGTGCCAGGTGTGCCAAGTGCTTCAGCCGCACCAGGTGCGCCACGTGGGCGACACGCGCTGAGTGGCTGGTGCACGTGGCAGCACACATCGGACAATATCCGACACCCCCACCATATCTGTCAATCGCACGGTGTCGGCGGGGCGGTCAGAATTATGTATGGTGTGTGTGCGTGCGTGCGCATGGTGTGTTCACCCACGAACGGTTTTGTTTTGACATGGGTGGCAGACCACCGCCTGGCAGAACACGTGACCTCCCACACCATGCAAAGCAACATATGACGATTGGTCGCACACACACTGCTCAAAGTCTGCGGCCATGTGGCATTGTTTTTGGCAGTGGTGGTGTCGAGGTGTGACCGTGTGGTTTCGGATCGGTGGTGACTCGAGTGGGCGGCGGGGTGTTCACCAACCGTGTCCGTAGAAGACGTTGTTCCGTAAGGCTTGCAATTACAGAAGAGCGCATGATTCGTCTCTGAGCCGTTTGCCACCAGGAGGGCTGGTAGCATGTAGTGTTTGGTGTTGCCCTGCTGAGGTCTCGTTGTAGCCTACGTTGGGTGTCTCTTGGTGGCTTGTTTGGGGCTTCTTGGGGCTGCGTGGGGCCTGCTTGGGGCATCAACAACGTTCCGTAAGTAAGAGTCCATGGGTCACAGAACGCGCCATGAACATCTGGTACGGAAGCCGCCTGGTCAGTTCGATACCGTGTCTTGAAACTATGTCTGGGCAGTTTTGACTCGCTATCATGGGGGGTGGGTCATGGACTGCGCCCCCGCAACGATTCGCACACGCCTTAGCGTGCCGAAGGGAGGCAGGTGGAACGCCACCAAGAAACACATTAGTGTGTAGGCCTTGTCGAATAGACAAGGCCAAGGTTGAGTGAATTGGAATGAGTTCGAGTGAGCTGGGCTGAGCGGAGGTGAGCTGTGGCTGGCTGGACTGAGCCGAGCTGGACTGAATTGGCCTGAGCGTGGCTGAGCTGGACAGTCAGGCTGGGACGGGCTGAGCTGGACTGAGCTAACTGATCTTCGTTTCATCGTGGCATCGTCGTCATCATCATCACTACCCCTCTCGAGGATGCCCCTTCGGAGCCCACAATATACCGCCCACAGCGAGGGCGCTCGCACATGGGAAGCAAACCGATTTTTGCTTCTGCAGAGAGCCACAGGGAGGCCCGGTGCCGCAGAAGCCCAGTTGGGCGCGTCCATAATTTTTGGAGTGGGCCCTCTTGGGCCACCCCTCAATCGCTTTCGGAGTTTTGTGCGGATTTCTTGGATCTGCACTGGGGGCCCCTGGCTGAGCCTCTGGCGCCGTCCCCCGCGAGATCCAAGACGTCCGCTCAGAGCTCCGAATGTGTGTGTGTGTGTGTGTGTGCACCGTCTTGGACCACGCGTCGCGGGTGCTTTCTCCTCTCAGTAGGGAGCTCTCCTCAGGCCCCAGTGCAGGGCCAATTTCGATCCGATCGATCCGATTCGGCATCGATCCCAGCCAGCCCGATCCAATTCGATTCCGATATTCCAGCGAGTCGATGTTGCCCGATGCTTGCATGGCGCCGTTGTGCATCGGCCAGCAGCGCCACCACCATGGGAACCAGCAGCGCCCCCATCAGCAGCACCACGACGGCGACCAGTGGAAGGAGGCAACGGCATTGCCGACACCAGGCGTCCAGCAGGACACCAGGAGGAAGAGGACGGCGAGGAGGCGGAGGAGAGGGAGGCCCCAGGCAGCGCGCCCGGCACCAGGGGAGGGAACCCGCCTAGCGCCGTTGCCCGGCGAGGAGGGCGAGGAGGCGGCGGAGGCGGTGGCGGCGGCTGCCGAGGCGCCGCGGCCCAGCGAGCAGGACGAGGCGGCGGAGGAGGCGGAGGAGACCCACAGGACGCCGCTGCCCAGCGAGGAGGGCGAGGCGCTGCAGCCCGGCGAGGAGGAAAAGGAGGCGACGGAGGAGGCAAATGAGATTCGCGATGCGCCGCTCTCCAGCGAGGCGGCCGAGGCGCCGCTCTCCGGCGAGGAGGGAGAAGGGGCGGCGGGGAAGACTACGGAGGCGCCGCGGCGGAGGAGGCGGAGGAGATTCACGTGGCGTCGCTCCCCGGCGAGGCGGGATAGGAGGCGGCGGGGAAGGCCGCCGAGGCGCCGCGGCCCGGCGAGGAGGAGGAGGAGGAGCAGGAGGAGGAGTGATCCGACTCGGCTCCGACTCGGGGCCGACGCGGCCCGATTCGAGGCGCACTCCGATGCGGCCCGATCCAATGAAGACTGATCCTGCTCAGTAGGGAGCTTTCCTCAGGCCCAGCCAGCCTCGTTCGCAAGCCACGTCGCGCGATATCGGCTCAGCAGGAGAAACGTGCCAGCCGCGCAGGAGGAATGGCAATCTGAGATCAGAGAGTGCACTTGAGCATGTACGGGTCAGTAGACGAGCCACGCGCTGTCAAACAAGGGTGCCTGAATATGGCACTCAAAGTTTTTGTGAAATAGCACAACGGTGGGCTTTCGCAAACTCTCGGCTCCCGGGGGCCCTTGCCGGGCCCCGGGGCGGTCAAGACAATGATTCAGGATTAACAGCCCGTCGTGGGGGGAAAGTCCAGACCTTCGGGGTTTCACGTTTTGATTAAACCACGGCGTCGGACGTGTGGGACTGGTGCTGGAGTGTTTTGTTGGGCCGCCTGTCGCGAGGGCTGGCACCTGGCGGCGGAGCCCCGCCGGCACATTGGACTTGGACGAGATTCAGACCCACCCGTCTCGGGGACACCCCGCACAGGAGCCCCAAGCAGGCTGCTGTGATGGCGTTCGGCTCGCATGCTGGGACTGGACCGCGTTGGGCAGCCCTTCGTGAGGGTTATCACCCCCATGAGGAGAGGCCACAGTTAGGGCGTTCGCGCACTGGGGCCGGGCCATTTTTGAAAGCCCCCGTCACGGGGGTTCCGGCCCCCATGGGGAACTCCAATTGGCTCGCATGAGAGTACTAGTGCTCCGTGGGTGGATCGTTTTGGGCCAACGTTCACGGGGATTACAACGCCCCCTTCGAAAACCTTAATTATGGATGATCGCCAGGAATGTGCTAGCCCAGTGTGCGTGTGTGTGTGTATGTGTGTGTGTGTGTGTGTGTGTGTTTGGTGTGTGTGTGTGCGTGCGTGCGTGCGTGCGTGCGTGCGTGCGTGCGTGTGTGTGTGTGTGTGTGTGTGTGTGTGTGTTTGTGCGTTCGTGCATACGTGCGTGCGTGCGTGCATGCGTGCGTGTGTGTGTGTGTGTGTGTGTGTGTGTGTTTGCTGCCCCGCCGCGGCCAGGCCCCGCTCTGAGCGGGCCCGGCCTCCGTCTCCCCGCCCGCGCCGGGCATTCCCATTCCTCCTCACGTGCACCGCGGCTAAATTAGCAATCGTATGCCCTACATTCGCCAGCGCTGCCTAGCCGCTGACGCAAAAAGTATGTGTGTGTGTGTGTGTCTGTGTCTGTGTCTGTGTCTGTGTCTGTGTCTGTGTCTGTGTCTGTGTCTGTGTCTGTGTCTGTGTCTGTGTCTGTGTCTGTGTCTGTGTCTGTGTCTGTGTCTGTGTCTGTGTCTGTGTCTGTTGACGCGGGGCCTATAAAGGCTAAAAGGAGCCCACAAGGGCCCTGGCCCCACTGAGGGGCCAAAGCCACAAGGGGCCGTCCCAAGACAGGGGGCGGGCCACAAGGGACCCCGAGAGCCCAGACGAGCCGCAGAAGGCTGCCTCCAGGGCACATCGGCCCCGAGGCACCGCTCGGCCTGTCAGCTCAGACCCCCGTCGAGGGGCATCAGCGCGAAGCGCTGGAATATATACAACCGTGCAGACAAAGTGAACTCGACTGAACACAGGAGTCTTCACTCACACAGGCAAACAGCACAAACGGACTGCAACTGCTTGCCTCAATCATCGAGGGGGCCCCTCACGCCCCTCTGCATATGGACGACCTGCAAGCGGCCCTCGAGGATACGCTCACGCTCCTCGGCATCTGGCCAACCTGCAGTGCTGGGGCGGACGCCGAGAAAGCGGGCCTCGGCCGAGCTCAGGAGTGCCTCAACTCCCGTCTTGGGCCCAATGGCCACGCATATCACCGCCGCCACCGAGAAATCGTCCAGGAAGTAAAACAAGCTCTCACAGAACGCGTGGCGGGAGGCCTTCTGCGCCTCCCTCTGCTCGCACCGAGCCTCCAGCGCGTTCATCGGCTTCGAGAGCACCTCCCGCTCGCCCTTGGGCTCGGTGCCCTCCTCCAGCGCGCCCTGCTGCTCGGACAGCGCCGCCAAGTCGCCCTTCTGCCAGACCAGCTGCTCGGAGGTCGCCTCCTGCGCGCACGGCCGCTGCGAGAGCACCTCCAGCTCGCCCCTGGCCTCGGCGCCCTCCTCGAGCGCGCCCTGCCGAACGGACAGCGCCGCCAGGTCGTCCTGCAGCTCGACCGTGGGCTCGGCGCCCTCCTCCAGCGCGCCCAGCCGCCCCGAGGGCGCCTCCAGCTCGACC